TTAGGGACATGGTTTAGTGGGCATGGTGGTGTTGGGTCGACGGTTGGACTCGATGATCTTAGAGGTCTTTTCCAACCTTAATGATTCTATGATTCGATGATAAATTACTATTTATCTGTATAGTAGAGCAATGTTCCTCCCTCAGTCTCCAAGATCAGTAGACGGTGTGTTGAGAGTGTGGGGCAGAACCAATGTCACCTGCAAGAAAGGAGCTGGAGGAACTTGAAACACAGCAACAAGCCCAGAGCTTCTGAATAGAGGAAAAGAGAGTAAAGACGTAAGCCTGTGTAGTATCGATGAGTGGAGTGCAGGAGTCAGAGCTGAGGGAGGCTCAGAAGCACAAAGTATGATTTACTCAAAGTTTTAAAAGGAAATACGCTCACATGGGGACTTGTCCAAGTGAAGATCCTAGGCGCAGCGTTTCGTTCCAAAATACAGTGGATCATTTTTTGGGTAATTTCACATGCATTACCCTTAAAAAGAGGTAGAAGTAATGCACCTCCTGAAAATTAATAGTAGTGTTCTACTAAGCTGATTTAAATGCTTATTTTCTGGGCAATGTCAGTGCTGAATTGTTTCATTCTACTTTCTAGAAATTGTAGAAGATAAGTTAATCTGTTAAAATATTTAAGAGAAAGATCAATACATCTTACATATTTTGCTTGAGGAAATTAAAACCACTGATCTACAGTATTCTCAAATCTTAGAAAAACTTAATGCTTGCATTTGTACTCATCCACCTTTTCTGTGTTGTATCTTAGAAGAGCAAAGTTTTTTTTCTAAATTAGCTTTTAAAGACCTTAGAAGGTTGACTCATTTATTATCTTTGTGTAGTCAGATTCTCTTCTGTGTGTGGATTTTTTTTGCGGGAGAAAAAAGTATATAAATGTTTTGTCTTTTAGATAACAATTAATGTTTACCGATAACAATTAATGTTTTGCATAAATAATAGAAATTTTTTTTATCCTTTGCTAGAAAGAGAAAACATAAGTGACTGCTGCCCAGATAAACAAAAAAATTGGTACAAAGTCTATTCTGAGGGAAGGGGAGAGACATTTTTATTATTTGCCACTGTGCTGACAAGCGTCTGGAAATGAATGAAATTACCCTCTTTGTTTTTCTTTTCAAGTGTACATCTCTTTGTTGTAAGCAATGCCAAGATACAGAAATAACTACCAAGAATGAAATATTCAGGTGAGTTTATTGCTCTTAATCTTTGGGAGGTTCTTGATCAGAAACATTGGCACAGCAAAACAGATTAAGCTAGGTTATGTCTTTATAACTATTGTGTTTTCCACAACTCTAATAAAATTTAAGTAAATATTTATAGGGAATTTTCTTTATAAAGCAAAACAGGTTATTTGAGCTTTTTCTAATAAAAAGTTAGTAAATCCAAACACCACCTTGTGTGTTGTAACGGAAGTTAGTGTGAAACGCCGTGTTATGTCACCTTGCCACTGAAGACTTACGCGCTCCGCGGTGAGTTTTGAAATACAGATTTGTTACATATGAAATTTGGGATCTCGTGAGCTTTATTCAGAAATAAAAGGACAAAAAGGTCTCTCAGCACTTCATCGCGACTTCTATATGTTAACAAGCTTCAACGGCAGATTAAAACGCACTAATTGAGTGGTATAGATAGGCTCCCCGTATGTTGTCATGTAAGGAAATTGCCTTTTTATGTCATTAAGCATTGTGATACCTCTTTTATTTTAAGAATATAGGATTTAATCCTAATAACTTCACTAGACAGTATATTCGCATTATATATTTGACCTATACAATATCTTCCATGTTCAACAATGATAAGACTATACATTTTTCCAAATAATTGCTGTTTCTGGCAGTCTTGTCACTGTTTTAATCTTGCATAACTAATATCTGTCCATCACATGATAATATGAAGGTTAAAAGACGTCTTGGTTTAACAAAGCACGACTCCCCGTGGTTTTCCTTTATCAGTGTGATAAGAAGCTGGCATGGTAATTAAAAGCCATTTCTTGTCACCTAATCAAATGGTGGTTTCCAGAAACCACGATTCCTGCTGTGTGGGTATGATGTACTTTAACAGAAGAACGATGAGAAGTTAGTGTGATGAATGAACATTTTTGCTTGCTTACTTCTGAAAGTTTTTAAAAGTTAGATTTCAGACTAGCAATGTAGGTGTTACTTGGTTTTATTGGCAGTCGCTATTCAAAAGCAGCAAGTAAAATAAATTATGAGTCTATCATGTACTTTTTTTTTTTATACTGAGCTGTAGGTTTTTGAGGGACAGATTAATAACTGCCTTAAATGAGGTAGTTTCCATAGCATCCTGTCAGCCATCCTCTAAGTAACTTGTCCCCTGGAACAAACAGCTGGGCGAGGTTCATCTGAACACAGTGGTTTAGTCCTTACTCATGATGATACCTTGTTAAATACCTTTTCTGAAGTAGGGACTTGATAAGTAGGTAACAGGAATAATTTATGTCTGATGAATGCATCAGATTTATAATACCGGACATTTAAATTTCTGCAATTCTAAGAAAATTTGACCAATGATATTTTACATTAGTTTCAATTTTTAATAATATAATTAAACATGCCTTTTTTTCCCTACAGCCTGAAGTGGTTCTTTTGCTATGGAAGATAGTTTTGAGCGTGGTTGGCAGTTTTTCCTCTGTTTACATTTGACCGCCTTTGGTTTTTGTTTCTTCCTTGAACTCTGACAAAATCATTAATTGTCTGTTGTAGTTTATCCTTATGTGGACCCATGGCAGCATATGTGAATCCTCACGGGTACATCCATGAAACCCTTACTGTATATAAAGCCTGCAACTTGAATCTCAGTGGACGACCATCGACAGAGCACAGCTGGTTTCCTGGGTAATAACAGTTAAAAGAGACTCTGTTAGTAAATGAGAGAAATTTGGTTGTAAATGCAGTCCTGTGACGGTGGAATAGTAAATATGCAATTCTTGAAACATAAGCCGTCATTTTGCTCGTATGAAAAACAGGAAAGTAAACGCAGACTTTTTCAAAATACAGAATAAAATGGAAAATTCAGGTAGAATGTTTTCAGAATGTCTCTGGAATTTTTTAAGTATATGGAAATTTTAAGATTTTAAAACATAGTCTGGCATCTGAGAGCCTTAAACAGGATACTGATTGTCTGGGAGTTTGTGTATAGTTTTGTATAAGTCACAACTAAAATCATAATTATTGTTTATGATCAAAGAAAGCTGCATAGAAAGTAAATAAAGTGCAAATGGAAAACATAATATATAAATGCAATTATTCTACTGAGATACTTTTTTTTTTAGATCTAAAAACTGAAGAAATGTAACATTAATTTAAAAATCACTAACTTTGTGATTACCTCTGGGTTTTATTTTTATATATATTATTTAATAATAATTATCTCTGTAAAAGTAGCATAATTAACTGTCAAGATCTAAAAGTCTGCCTAATAATGAAGGGTCTTGCATCAAAATGTCACCCCTCTCTGGTAGATTAAATTTAATGTTTTTTGGCTAGACAAGCGTGCTTCAGGCGCTCATTCAAAACTTTGAGTATTTAACTCTTGAAAATAGCTCAAATGTCAAACTATATTTGAATTTTAGTGTCACAAAAATATTCTTTAAATACATTTTTTTTACCAGATCACTTTTCTGTGTGGTCCTTTCTGTGCCAGAGTGTTAGAAATCATTCTTCTGTCCCTTTTTGCTCTTCTGAAGTGGCGTGAAATAGTACGTTGCTGTATCTGTAGCCAGTCCGAGGTTCTTGACTAGCGCACGTACACATTCACTCTTCCATTTTCTCGTGTTGATCATGGGTTTTTTTCTGGATTATCACATAGCACTGAGTAATGACTTGGAGGGAGTGGGGCATATCTGTCATAAGAAATGCGCTCTTTAAGACTCCCTGAAGAAAACTTGTGGCTTATAATAGCTAGAGTTAATTTTTCTCACCTTTATGTGTTTTCTCAGCTCTTTTCTTCTATGAGGGTTCCGAAATACTCATATTCTGCATTTTAAAGCTGTTAAAGTAAAGCTCTGTTGCTCTGGGAAGTACAATTCCCTGTTAATCTAGGAGCAGTGCAAAAATCACTTTTATTTCCATTAAGTAACTTACTCTCTGAGAACCATTTTCTGACTCTTCTTTAAGGCACACAGTATTTCATCATACTGTTGAAATGTGCTAGTAAAAATGCTTTAGTTGCTTTCTTTTCTTGAATGATGATTTTTTTTTTTTAACTTGTTTTTAAGATCTGTGGGGTTTTTAGGTGGGAGCTGAGCACCTTAATTCCCAAAGATTCTTTGAAAATCTAGCTTGAGACTAGTATTCCCTTCTTACCTGATAAGTGAGCTGTGTTCCAGTATTTCTAAGGTGTCTTTTCCTTCCACGTTAGCATCAACCTTTTGTTTTGTTTTCGATAGGTATGCCTGGACTATAGCCCAGTGCAGAATCTGTGGGAACCATATGGGATGGAAGTTCACAGCTACCAAAAAGGATATGTCACCTCAGAAATTCTGGGGACTGACACGGTCTGCTCTCCTGCCTCGGATTCCAGAAACAGAGGAAGACTCGGGCCACGATAGATCACCGTTACTCTGCCTGTAATCTAGTAACCTGCTTTGGAGGTGAACTGGCAGTAGTCTGTCTCTTAAACGCATCTGCTCAGTTCTGCTTCTGATGCTTACTTAAACTTAAAAAAACCCAAGAACCCACACCCGCACACAAAAACCAACCGAACAAGCAGGCTCACTACATTGGGGTTTGGCGTGTATCCACATTACCGTTGTTTCAGACACACTGAGAGCTGCAGGTTGAATCTTTCAGATGACAGCTGGGGAGAGGAGGCGGCATGAGACGCCAAGAAATCGATCTGAGCGCTCTGGGCAGACTTGAGACTGAACTTTCTCCTTCCTTGTATAATTTCAGAAAATGTTTACTGCTATCAACTGGCAGTGAAAGAAGGTGGGGGGAAACTAAAATGACAAATAAACAGAGTATAATTTATGCAATATATGTACGATGGTAGATACCAGTTACTTGCTGCGGAATATTTTCCATAATATACTTCAAAGTGTTTTTGCTGAGAATCCCTGTTTCTAACTACGTGGAATACTTCGCATTTTATGCTCGCGCTGTTTCTCAGATATTTGCTGAATAACCATCACGGAGAGTTACAAGGCCGAAGTTCTCTTCTGCCTGGGCCTGTGTTGGTCGTGTCGGTGGCAGTGCTGTAAGGGGCAGAAGGCAGAGCTGCCTGCTACAGGCAGCCCCCCCAGCTGCGTTACAGGCTGCCCTCTGGAAGGAACCCGGGTGAAGGCTCCGGTCCTTAGACGTTGTCTGACACGTTTAGAACCTTTGACTTTAGAAGTCTTAAATTTTAAACTATTTATGCAAAATATACATCAAATAGATTGTCGCTTACTGTCAAATGTGCTTATATTTACTTTTCAAAATTATTTCTGTGAAGATTAGTTTACCAGCCTACATGCCCAGGGTTCTGTGAAGTACTGGCTAAAACACCTAACTATGGAGATTTTTCAGTAGTACGTATTTGGACAAGGGAGAGGCAACATCTCTAATTTTTTTTTCTTTTACACTTTCATATCATAAAGTAAAATTTCACATTATCTCCCTTACCTTACAAACAGCAACAGTTTCTAAATAAAACAGAAATAAAAGGCAGTGCTTTTTTTTGGTTTGGTTTGGGGTTTTTGGGGTTTTTTTTGTCTGAAGTGCTGTCTATGCTACAGAAATCGGGTGCCAAAATAGGGCAGCTTTTGCTGCTGATTAATAAATAAATTTATTAAAAAATAAAAAGCTTTTTTTTTCCCCTTGGAATGCACTTTGGTGATGGAAACTGAAGATTTCTTCAGTATGTGTACACACACTTTTTTTTTCTTTTGAAGCTTTATCATTCACTCTTTATTTCTTCACAGTAAATCTTTGAGAACTTGCATTGTTAAATATAACGACACAAAACTACTGAAGGTTTAAGACATCAGCCATTACTTGCTCGTTCTCACTCGCGCCCCTACGTCAAACACACGTAGCATGGACAGATGACTTCAGTGCAAGGCGACGTCAGACCTCTCTACAAGACAAGTAGCTGATTTAATGGTAGTGTGGGACCTCTTGCAGCGCAGCTGAGGAGACACCCAGATGTGACAAGATGCTCGATGCTGAAAGGCTGCTGGGGTAGTTTGTTACGCTGGGTGTGTAGAAAGTAATGATTGTGTAACTCAGGTTTAGTTCTTCGAAGCCTTCTACCTCTGTGCTTCTGCGTAACTTTTGTTCTCTCCGTAGACATCTGTAATACCGTATTTAATTTTGTGTGCAGTGCTCTGACTCGCCAGTGAACTGTGAAAAGCAATACTTCTTTGAATATAATTCTGAACAAATAGAGGGTGAATGATGGCTCATTTTCTTCAAGAAGACATTCTGTATTTTGATTACGTTTCTATAATAAGCTTTCAAAAGGCTGAAATGATAAGCACTAGTGTGAGAGTGAGACTGTGAAACCTCTGTACTTGGATAACCACTGAAACCATACTTAGCTTTCCCCTCACGCCATGCACATGCACACACACACGTACACACGACACGCACATACGTGCACAGAGACGCACACACGGCTTAGCTGTAGGCCTGCTTTATTTTTTCCCTCAACGATACCTACTATGTGTTGTTCCCATTACGCTCAGTAGGGCTTGGTGGTGGCAAGAAGTTTGAGGGTGCTTTGAAGTACCTTCTGCTGCCATTCGATTTAAGCATTCACTGAGGGTATGGTGAGTGAGGTTTTCAAAATTATTTTCTCAGCTATCGCTGAACTTCATAAGGTCTTTGGGTTTTTTTGGCCGAGTCTTTTGGATTGCCTCAACTAAAAATGGCATTATGTTGGCAACGTTTGAATACAAAATAGGCATATTTTTGGTATTGTGTGTATATAGTCAAATGTAAACTAATATAATCAAGTGAGATAAGTCAGGAGTAAATTTAGCACTAATTTAATTTTATTGTTGATGATGTTCCATCTGCCTGACCTGCTGTGTAATGTTTGCCGTTGCAAAAAGTCCATGACACTTTCCAGGTTGAAAACAAGTGCGATTCAGGTTGCCACGAAGAAGATGAATCCTGCCGTGGTGAAGCTGGCCGTTACAGTGCTGCACCTGCAAGAATGCTCAGAACGTACAGCATGTGACGTGCAGGGTGGATGTGGACTCGTGGATGGTTCTATACATTGGTTAATATTTTCTATGCTGCTTTTCTCCTTTTTGGAGAGAAAAACTACTGGATTGGGATTGTGGAAAGTTATTACTGACAATGTTTTTGAGAGCTAAGTACAAAGGAAATCACATTTTATGGTAATTTCCTACATTTACTACATTGACTGGTTGGCACGTAGCTTCATGCGTTAATTAATCCAATATTGACTTGCTGGCTGCTGCCAAAAGGGATCATTTTTCTCTTCTCTCCCACCGTAATCTCTGTCCTTCTTAGTGAGCTCTAGGAATTAGGCAGTCGCAGCGTCGGTGTCGGGTCTGACGGAGGCAGGAGGGACGAACAGGCGTCTTGTAGGGACAGAAGAGGGACTGCCCTGCGCAGCAGCAGGTCTCGGCTGGATTGGCGTATGTGTAGCATAGAACCGCTCATTTTCAAGCTGTCGTTGCAATAGCATAAAGACGTCATACAATCGGAGCCTGTAATATTGCAAGTTTTCGTATATTTTAGTTTAGTTTTGATGAATAGGTAGAATCACATAGGACACTTGCACACGGTCTAAAACATGTTCAAATACTCTACCGTTTGTTTTTTAATAATGCTGTTTTTGTATGTGCTGCAATTCATTTTGGTCCTCTCATTGTTTTTTCACCTTTGTTTAATTGCTTTGTAAAAGCTGTGGAAAGGGTAGCACGTTCTCCGCTTTAACTCTTCCTCTGTCTGCCTTTTGAGACAACTTTTCAGAAAAATCTTGTTGCTTGCAAACATTTGCAAAGAATAAAATTCAACTTGTTTCAAAACTGATCTTTTTTTGCTGATTGTTGGGATGGGAAGAAAGAAAATGTTTGGGTTTACATTGTGTTTTAAACCGGTTAGCTTCAAAAAGTAACATGTTCAGTAAAGGGAGTTTCAGCTGCAAAGAATGTGCAGAGAAGGTAAGAAATGACATGGAGAGAGCGTAGGTTGTCATTCCAATGGATAATCAAAATGAAACATTAAGTCCTTCATCTCAAACAATTTTCTCTCTCTCTCATCTTTTAAACCGGTTAGCTAAAAAAAGTAACATGTTCAGTAAAGGGAGTTTCAGCTGCAAAGAATGTGCAGAGAAGGTAAGAAGACATGGAGAGAGAGCGTAGGTTGTCATTCCAATGGATAATCAAAATGAAACATTAAGTCCTTCATCTCAAACAATTTTCTCTCTCTCTCATCTGTGCGCTTACTTGCTTTAGTTCACCTGAGTAATTCTTAGCTTCAGTCCCAAATTATTTCCCTCCATATTGACTTCCCAAGGTCTGAGAGTCCTGATGGTTTTTCCAGCACCCCTTTATCTCCAGTTTCTCCCACGAAGAGAAATGCGTAGGTAAATACGTGAGGGGGGGGGGTTAGGTAGTGAAAGTACGGAGAAGATGCATCTGGAGGCACTTTGAGGAAAACTAGTCGGAGGCTTTGCAGACAGGCTTGGCAAAAGCACCCCGAGTGAGGGAGGAAGAGGTGGGTGTGAGCGGTGAAGCAGAGGGTGCTGGGGTGAGGCCGGCAGCGAGGGGGGTCAGGAGGTGCTGGTGGAAAGAATTTTAAGCTGCATAAACATCTGCTGAAACCTAGGATTGCCCCAAGCCTGCCGCTTTAATTACACACCGTCCTAAATTCTGCGCCGAGGACAGTTCAACCAGGAAAGAAGGTGTCGTGGTTTAACCTCAGCAGCAACTAAGCACCACACAGCAGCTCGCTC